GATCTACCCATTGTGGTAGAGCGCATTGATTATATTCCACTGTTGCTGAGACTGGCAAATGATGTTGCAGACGAAATATTTATGCACATCTTTACAGTAATTAATAATCAGGCTTAATAAGATTCCTATATAGCAACCCAGTGTGGATTTTTGTCTGCATATATGAACTTACTAGCAGTAATAGCATGTCAACTGATCGACTTTTCTTTGACAGTCTGTTTATATGTCCGAGATATGTCCATTGTTAGCATAATATGAAATAATTCCAACGGCCTACTCATATGTTCACTTGACTGTGTTGCTACATTTCAGGGTATACTATATTTTTTGATAATGCTCACAATTTCTTTCTTATTATATAGTTTTGCAGTTCTGACTGAGTACAATCCTAATCATTACAATAAATGGTGTCATCGGAAGCTGATGTATTAATTGATTGTTCAGAAACAGATTGTTCAGGTGTTCTGTGATAGGGGTCGCATTAAAACAATAATTGGGACAAAAACTGACTTAGTATTTCTATATATGATATTATACAGTATTTAGTGGCAATTAGCTAGCCATGGCAACTGGTCATGCTACAGTATATAATTTGGATAATGCAAATATAAATGTTATGGCTAGCTTTGCCACAGACAGTATTATAATTATACATACAAAAGTAAGAAATTATAAGCATTGAAAGTATTCATATTATACCGTCCATGCAGGCCATGCTAAGAAAGTAGAATTAGAATATTTAGCTAACCTTTGATTTTGTGCAAGGTGTTTGATATTCAAATTGCATTTTTCCCACTTCCTGAACAGGTATCTTATGGGCTATTTACATGTTGGAAGGTGGGATGATTTTGATGTATTGAAATAAGGCTAAACAAAAGTCCAAATGCTGGTTAATTAACAGAAATTAAATGTTGTACAGAAGATCTAGCAGTTCAAGCAGCTTATTATTACCAGGGGCGTTGGAACGACTGTAAAAGTGGGGGAGGAATGCGGGTGACGACAGGTAACAGTGTAGGGGATCCAGGGGCATGTTCCCCGGGATAATTTAAAAACTATATTCACTGAAATGCCATGTCCTGCACTTTAAGAGATTTATAGAGTTCTAAAGCTAACAAAATTCCAACGCCCCTGATTGTTGCCTGAACAACCTTTCATTTACAGTTAATTATAATCTATCTGAATCTTATTTTCTTTTGTAGTCTTTTGCTGTATTGGCTTGTTGCATTTTTAATCCAACCCCCCCCCCCTATGGAGGACATCCATTTTTTGGACCCCCTCCCCTGGAATTCCGCAGATGTCGACGAGTTTCCATCCTACCCCCTGGAATTCCACGATTTTTTTACAAATTTCCAGCCTAGCCCATGGAATTTCCACAGATTTTTAATGAATTTTTACTCCTACCCCATGGAATTTCCACAGATTTTTAATGAATTTCTACTCATCCCTTGGAAATTCCACCGATGGTTTTGACCTAGTCTCTATAATTTCCACATTTTTTGTGTATAACCATCCCTTGGAATTTCCATGTTGTTTTTTTAACCTACCCCGTGGAATTTCCACAGATTTTCTTTAAAATTTCGACCCTCCCTTGGAAATTCCTTCTTTTCTTGTTGAATTTTAGGAAGGGGGGGTCTGGAAATTCCAGTATCCTCCATAGGGGGTGGGGGGTGGTTTTAAAATGCAATGAGCCATTGTGCACCATAACTTATTTCAATACATCAAAAATAATCCAGCTTCACACATCTTGTCCTGGCAAAGCAGGATCATATAAACAGCCCCTTATTCAGCAAATTGTGCATGCTGCTCCTTGGATTCCTCTCGTGCAGGCAGCATTTTCCTTTTGCTTATAGGTAACCCTAGTTTTATTAGTAAGTATGACTAGACACCGACTCAGTTTGTTTATATATACTGAACGCGGCAGCCCCCCCTCCCCCACCCCCAGTTTGTTGGGCAAACAAAGCCAGTCGGGCAATTTTCGCTCCACAGTCGGGCAATATTGGCTTATTATAAAAATAAATGGGACAAATTCTGTGATGTCTGGAAAATTTGTATGATGTTCCGAAAAATGTTGGTATGTCCGAAACATTTTTGGACCCCTAAAATGGTACACTGACCGAAATGTTTTTGGCGACGGGGGGGGGGTTGGGGTGGGGGAGGTCGCCAAAAATAATTTGTTCCGGGAAAATTTTTTTTGGCACTGGTCGGGCACAATCCGAAAAAGTCGGGCAAATTTCTTTCCGCCCCCCTAATTTTTTCCTTCCAGTACGACCATGTGTACATACATACATACATATACATACAAAAATTTATTTTTACACGGGAAAAAAGCATCAGTACATCAAAACGATTGCTATTTACAAGTTTGTAAGTATAAAAATAAATGGAATGAATGTTTATTTCAAAAACTGAAAATTGGCGCCAAATTGAGACAAAGCTAAAATCCCACCCGCCAGGATGCCATACAGTTTTCAATTTGATTTTTTAGTGTAAACCACAGGTATAAACACCTGGTTCGGTGCTTCAAAGCTAGGTTAGTGTTAACCCTGGGTTAAAATTAAACCCGATATTATTAGAAATTAACAATATACTCGTAACTCGCAACTCGCAGCTCGCACTTTAGATAATCTCGGTACGTTTTACTTCACGTATATTAGGACACTTGTGTCAGACTTTTTTATTGTTTTTAAGTGGAAAAGAAGTAAAAATAACACTAAAACACATTGTTTGGTATATTTCTACTGTAAACGAGTTACAACTATGCAATATTTTCTGTGTTGGTGTTGTGTACTCAGGTGAATATGATTGTTTGTGATGTTACTCTGCGTGTATATCCACACCGAGCAAGCTTGAAAAATATGCCTGGCTCAGTTGCAGAGCATTGAGCTAGTATTCCAAAGGTTGTAGGTTCGATTCCCACCGTGGCCAGGCATATTTTTCAAGCTTGCCCGGTGTGGATATACACTCAGAGTAACATCACAAACAAACTATGCAATACATATACGTGAAGGATTGCAACGATATTTGAAGGAATGAAAACGAAAACTCTAATCCGATAAATACTATTATCTTTAAACTCATTTACAGTAGAATTATACCAAACAAAGTTTTTATTGCTGGTAAATATTCATAAAACAACTGAGTCCGGTATGCTGTCTGGTGACATGAGAGACAATATAATTACTCGAACGCGGAGTGGTAGAATTAGTCAAAGACCGAAGTATTTGGACGATTATAGTACCTAGTGGGATCATAAACGTTTACTTATTTATCAGATAAATAGACAACAACGATAGAATCTCTTTCTCTATGAAAGGGAGGATGTTGCAATATTCATAAAAACAATTATAAAAATATTTGCATGCATGTATAATTAGTTAGTAGCCTATTTAAGCCAAGTAAACATTTCGTATTATGAGTTAGCTAAATATATCGAAGTATGTTGTAGTTGGTTTGTGTGCTTTTTGTCATATAACGAAACACCCATATCATTAAAAACCCATTGAGTGCAACTGCTTTCCCCTTGAGAAGTAAAATTGTCTGGTGTTAGACACAATCAAATAATAAAGTAGGCCTCGTTACGGTGCAATGCAACTTAATGGTTAGAGAGTGTTTGAATATATTTTCTAGGAAAAGTTAATGGACATTTTCCAGCCCTTTGGCGAAATTAAGTCAATAGATTTGAGAACAGGACCGGAATATTTTAATGGGCAGCAGATAGCGTGAGTATTTTTGACAAGTTTAATGATGTTGAACGGTATGCTGAAATTGCCTGTATATGCAGTAAATTTCATCTTCTTGCCTTTTCTTAATATTTTTTTATAGTTTTGTGAGATTCCCAAAAGAAGAAATGGCCAAATATGCAGTTGACTCACTTCTCCGTAATCCAGTTGAAAATGCCAAATTACAGGTAGAGTATTCATGAATGCAAGTACCAGATATCCCCCGAAAAGTTACGAACGGCCCTTATTACTTGTAAATAAATTTGAGCTGAGAAACAGGAGACGACTTTGTGTGGCAGTTGTTTAATTAACTAAACATGCCAAACTTTGGGTCAACCAATTTTCCAAAGTTCTTTGTTATTATACATTCACATGCAATTGACCAATCACAAGTCTTACGATGTAGGACAGGAGTGTATTTGACAATAGATTTTTGTTATTATTTTCCTGCCTTGTCAAATGTTTTCAGATGTTTTGTCAGTTAATTTTGCCAATTTGTACACAACAAATGCTTTAATGCTTTAATGCTTATACTACACTAGGAGGAGTTATATGTACTGAAAAACTAGATAATATTTATATTTATTTACAAGAAATTAGTCTTCATAATCCCTGTATGATACATATATTAGGCGGTGATTATAGAATGATGTTGCTATATGTTATTAACAACAACAATGGCAAAAGCGACAAACGACAACCACAACGACAACAACTCTAAGACTACAAAACGAACATATAATAGTACAATTATACAAACGATTCAAAACGATACTAATTGGCTACATTAAGTGACTTAATTGAAGGCATGGCAAGTGTTTTGAAACTTGGGGTTGATTGGCAAAGATTGTTAAATGGGATGTGATTCCAGGTAACGATTGTTCTTGGATAAAATGAGAACTTATATACATTGACACACGGCTGAATTTGGCACAAATGAAATGGCTAATTTGTAAAGAAAATGAGTTGGAACGTTAAGCCTGTTTCACGCTAGCACACAATTGTCTCCTGGCTAGGGTTGGGCGATATTAAAAAAATCATCTCACGATTATTGTCAAGGAAATTATCACGATATTTGATAATATTGCAATAAATGCAATAAAAACAATGACCACATTTTTCAATTTTAATTAATATCAAGCTGGATAGTAAACTTATATATAATCCACTAGAAACAAGAAATTAATGTAATAAGAAGGCTTTTTGTAGTCTAATATTTACTGTTCATAAACCTAAACTGTCTATGCAGTGTCTACTGTGTCTCCGCTGGTTCACCTGCAATTTCATTTCATTTTATCGTATTAAATTCGTATTTAATTCAGGAAATAGTTTTAATTCTTTTAAAAACTATATTTTCTAGTGAATTGAAAGAATTTATTTGGGATTTTATAAGAGCTATATACAGTACACATGCGAAGCAATATCACGATAGTCATCGAGCATGACGATAATTTCGATTTTTCGTTGCTCAAGTTTCTACCTTCGATACGATAATCGTGATTGAAAATATCGCGATAAATCAAAATATCGAAATATCGCCCAACCCTAATCGTAATTCGTAAAATTATTTAAAATTTACTTATAGGTTCAGGATGTTAGCTACAGTCAAACTTTATGAAACTATATACGCCATTTTCCCAATGCCCAACGGGGTGATTCCAACTATACACTAAATTTTGATCAAGGCAAGAAGAACGAAATCCAACACCAAAGCTAGAAAGAGCGTCTTAGAATGAATAAAATTGCAAGATGGTTGCTAAATGTTGTAAAAAGAAGTTCGTTTTGTATATATTTTTATTATATAAACATAAGTGTTATATAGAGTTTTTGGCCACTGAGAAAAATCGTATTTAAACACACGTAAAAAATACGATATTTTTACGTGTGAAAATATCATTTGTTGTAAAACGCATTGCCACGGACGTTTTATTGTTTTTCATTGAATTTTGTTTATATAATAAACAGAAAAATACATGGGTGCTTGGAAATACTAGATTTATTTCTCGTGTTGAACATGATATCTCACTCGTTCGCTGCGCTCACTCGTGAGATATCATGTTCAACACTCGAAATAAATCTGGTATTTCCGCGCAGCCATGTATTATTCTCTATGTATTACGCGCGGTAAAAATAACCACTTTCGGCTCAAAAATGGTTATTTTTCCCGCGCGTAATGCAAATATATACAAAATTTGCGAACTTCACAGGGCTATATTTTCCTCATTTTACAACAAATCGCAACCAAATTTTGCAAGTTTACTCTAGACCCGGAAATCTGGAACAGCACGTTTTAAAGGGAGATGGAATAAACATTATGTTTGTCTCATTTAATCTTTAATCTTTAATCTTTCTAGAATTTCACATTAAATAGTAAATACTAAATACTAATTTACAATGTGAATTACATTTAAACTGTATAAAAAATTAACTAAGACTAATGTTAAGAGTCAATATTTACAAGTAATCTTAAATAAAAATTTAAAATTTTTTGAAAGAATTCGATAAATTTACTTCGACTCCAGCGTTCGGTTAAAACATTCAATCCCATACACAATTGGGCTATTTTTAAATCGTTCAGTTCGATATCCAAAATTATACAGTTTTTCTCCATTTGATCTAGTTTGTCTCTGTCTTATCTGATTAACTGTTTCTGGCAATAAACTGTGTAATCTATGCATGTCTAGGGTCTATCATTGTTTTTATAAGGTTTCCGCACATCTCTTCTCTGCGAGTCTTTAATGTTTTAAGGTTACAGTCCAGTAATGCTTCTTCATAAGTCAGTCCAGGACAAATTATCCTAAGCGCACGCTTCTGAACTCGTTCTATGTCAGTAGACTGTTCCTTGGTTAAGTTTCCATGCCAAATTTGAGCACAATATTCAAGTGTCGATCTTATGACAGCTATATAAAAGGCTTTTAAATCCTGCTTTGATGCATTATAACCTTTTAACATCTTCAGAAAATACAGTCTTTTTACCGCTTTTTTAACAATATAGCATGTGTTAGTTGACCACTTCAAATTGTCATCAATCCATAAACCAAGTAATTTGTAACATTTAACCCTTTCAAATACATGACTATTGATTTCTAGCGGTGAAATAACAGTTACATTTTTTCGAAAGTCAATTATCATTTCTTTACATTTCCTTTGATTTAACTCCATCATATCTTCTTCAGTAAACCTTAGAACGCTCTTAACTTTACTTTCAGCACCACCCAGTTGCTTCCCAGAAATATGGTGGCTGACATCTAGTACCCCGTATAATGTAGTGTCATCCATAAACATTAATGTATCATGTTCAAGTATAACATTGGTTTCCATGTTGGTTGATATCATGAGTTGAATTTCTTCTTTTATTACAGAGGGAAGTTTATCAATCTTTATTACAAAGGCAATTGGTCCGAGTTTACTTCCTTGTGGCACTCCGCCATTGATATATGCATAATCAGACATATCATTCCCAAATTTAGTAAAATGGGATCTTTTATTGAGGTATGTTCCAAACCATTGGATTAAGGCCAATCTAACTCCCATCTCTTTCATATTTCTTAGCAGTATATTATGATTAATTAGATCGAACGCTTTTCTAAAGTCAAGAAAAATTATTCGTATTACTCTTTGTGGCTCGTCCATTGCTCTATACCAGTTGTGGAGTAGATTCAGAAGGGCATACAAAGTCGAAGATCCTGGGAGCCCTCCATATTGGGAATTGGAAATTTTCCCATTTATATCTTCATTAATCCACTTGTTGGTAAAGGTTTCCTGGACTTTTGATAAAACACTGGTTAATGCAATTGGTCTAAGGTTTTCAGCGATTGTACATGGTGTGATCTTAGGAATCCCAATTACTTTGTATTTTTTCCAAGTTTCAGGACATTTCTTTGTCTGAAATGACTCATTAAAAATTTCAGCAAGGGGAACGGCAAACAAATTCGAAAACATTTTCAGAATCTTCAAAGGTGGATCATTTGGCCCAGGTGTCTTGTTAACATTAATTGCATTCAATTCTCTAGCAATTTCTTCAACACTGATTAACGGTAGATCATCCGGGCATTGCATTTCTAGCCACTCGTTTGATATATGTGGATAATTTGTCGTTAAATTAGCAAAGAAGTTATTAATTGAATCTGCCGATTGTTTATCGTTCATTTGGAGATTTGTCTCGGAGTCTACTAAAGTCACAGCGTTTTTCCTTGATCCAATTAATCTTTTAACTTGCTTCCACCATGCTTTTGGGCATGAACTATGGTTTGGTCGTACCTTTTTATCATAAAACTGCAGCTTGGCTTTCTTTATCTCAGCTGAAACTTGTCTACGTAAAGATTTGAAGAGCTCGGTTTTATTGTTTTTAAAAGCTTTATTTCTTCTATCCATGATCAGAGATTTAATTTTTTGCGTCATAAACGGTTTATCGTTGGTATGCTTTTTTATTATTCTTTCGGGAAAAAACTCATTGATAATCACTTTAGTAAAATGAAGAAAAGCATCAACTTTCTCATCGAGTCCTTTGTTAGAGAAAAGTTCACTCCAGTCATAGTTCTCTAGAAAAACCCCAAACTGTATTAAAAGTATTTTTAGAAAGTATTGAAAGTATTTTTAAAATGATATAGCTATGAAGACCATTTACAATTCTTTTCCCTCAATTCCATTAATTAATTTGTTTCACAAATTGGAATGGATTCTCATAAACAATCTAATCAAGACTAATTGAGACGACTAATGACTAATCAATTGACTAATCAAGATGAGGAAAATATTACATGTAGTCAACACCTCGCGTTGTTTCAGTTTGTCCCTCAAAAACATTTGCTGGCTCTTTAGTTTCTTTGGAATACTTAGTACTACAAGGTGTAAATGATTGATACTGTCTCGCTCCTTTTTTAACGATCTTAAAATACCAACTATAAAAGTTGTACATAGTGAGCTCTCCAAGACGAAATTATCATATACAGTAGAGGTGTTCAATTGATCATCTGCAACAATTCTCCTATCCATCTTGTAAAAATATTGTCAAATGTATATTTGCTGCATACAGTTCTTGAATTCTCTTGCTTTGACTTTGCTTTTAGTTCAAAAATCACAAAATAAATACAGTTATCGTTTCATATTTACTATATGTTTAATCTAGTTGTACTGATTATACAATGTCATATATTGTATAATGTGCATACTGTACAGTATGTCTAAATGCTTTGTGACCAGTGTTCATGTATATAGGCTGTAATCTGTATTTTTAGGATACTTTTTTAACCTTTACAGAGGGTTATTTGATGGAATACCTTATTAATTAGGTAAAAATGTAACTTTTGACCCTGAGCAAAGTTCATCATTGATCACCATTGTAGTTTTTACAATAATCAAAACTACTGTATTTTCTGCAAGTTTTTCACTTTGCAGTTATTGCTGCATAGGACAGTGAAGGTTATAGCTTGTACTGGAACACAGACTAATAAGGTTATGAAATGAAGCAAAATTAAATAGCTTTGTTTATGTATTGTAAAAAATACAAAGCCCAGATCTTCATTAGTGGAAATAATGTTATTACATGTAGACAGTACTGATGATGGTCTGGGCTTGCAGATCATTAGATCAAACGCTTTGCTAAATAAATATACAATGAACATACTAGACTGCGAGAGGATCCCTCAGGGGGGACACACAAGGAACTCATTATAAATTCAGGGTTCGAATTAGCGGCTCACTATTTGCGAATGTAAATTCGCTTTTTGCGAACGCAAAATCATACATTTTGCGAATGACGCTTTGCAAAAATTTACATAAAAGGTTGATTTTCACAATCAATAACTTTGAATGTATTTTACTATAATGGAATAATTAATTGTGTGGATAATTAATTATCAGTGCTGAGACCGAGGGAAACAGTGTGTTTTGTAACCTGAAGTTCAGGCCCATCACAGAATAGGGCCTGACACAAAACCTATCTAAAGTGTGGGATTCCCGTCCACCTGGTGGACGGGAAATCTGATTGGTTGATCAGCATCATGAAGGATTTTGATTGGTTGCAAGTTCACATAAACAACAGTTTTAAAAATAGCTCGGTCAAGGCGAGAATTAATATAAAGGTCAAACGCACGTAACAAATTCCATTATCGATTTCTTCTAATTTCTTTTCTTTTATGCTTTATGGCAGAAAATAAATCAAACAAACAGTATTTTGAAAGGGCTTCATCAAAATCTTTGACGAATTTTGGATACACACGACGCTGAAAGAACAGCCAAACTAGTCATGTATTCGAAAGCTTGTTGTTGACAGCCAAGATGTTCTGCCAAATTGCTTCGCCGGCAAAAGTCTTATTTCTAATATCAGGTCCTACCGGCGTTGTTTTCTGAGCTACATCGCCTTCTTCGTGGTATGATTGAGAATTTAATTGTTGCTGTTATTAGCCCGTTAGTCGTTAGAGTATATCCGCGTCCAGCAAGTTGAGACCTTGAGAAAGCTTGGCAGTCAAGCCGTGCACAGAACTGACTAATTAAATCTTTGTTTGCTGTTCGCCTGTTCGGTTAAATAGAGAAACTGACTCTTAATTATATAAAAGTACCTTGAATTTTTAAGTTTAATTAAAAAGCAAAATGCTCTGCGGACATGTTCATGAGAATATAATTTTTTTGTGTAACGAAATCTACAACACTTGTCAATCATATTGCATGTGTGTCTAAAAATAACATGTGGGCGTCCCACGGTCTAGACAGGTTTTGTGTCAGGCCCTATTTCAAATTAGGGCCTGAACTTCAGGTTATGTGTTTTGTGGACCTGAGACCGTCGATGTTTCCCGAGGCGAAGCACTGCTTTCCCTAGGTCTCAGTAAATTACAAATTAACGAAACAACAAATTAAAGAACAAATGAACGTAAATGCATGAAATATTTTATTGTTAAAACGTTATATTAAACACTGGCTACACTGCAGTTACTTAAAGCGAAAGTTTTAATTACGTACTAGGCATGTCCAAAGGTCGCATCTTCACGTGATGGCGCACATGATTTTTTTTGTTATTCGCCGGTCTATAACGTATTATCTCCCTCTCGCGCTATTGCAAGGGAGACAGCCTAATTTCGTCACTCTCACGTGATATGCTCTCAACCAATAAAACACTAGAAAAATGCGACTTTGACTATTGATATATAATAATTCATTTTATTTCGGATATCGAAGTCCGATCCGATCCAACTACGAAACAACTTTATCAATCCGATCCGAATATTTTGGTTCCGAAATCCGAACAAATCCGATCTGATTTGCACACCTCTAATAGACTGTATGTTCACATTGGAAAACATATGTGTGCCTTGTTATCTTAGGAATATAGTGGGAAATTTTGACAGCCATTCCTTGCCCAACACTGGGGATTTTTACTACAAAATTTTAAAAATGTCAAACTTCCTGCATCAGGGAAAACATTGATAGGTGCATTAGGACCAATCTTAAGAAATATTGATGTAAATAGCATATATATTTGTGTAGTATGACATGTGTGTGTGTTGTTATGTGTGTGTCTATCATTATGGTGTATGAAGAATTTAAATCAGTTATGTAAAATTTCACTGAAAATATTTTTAAGGGTGCGAAATTAAAAATACAACATATTTACAACAACATATATTAAGCCTTTAAGTGGCAATGTGCCCTAATGGCCCGGCTTTCAATTGTTATTTTACTCTCTCCAATATGCCAGATGATTTTCCTAATGGCTGATGCACACTACTTTGTTATTAGGCTTCGTCCTACACCAGACGATTTTACTTGTCAAGGGAGAGTGCAGCCACTCAATGTCAACTCAATGGGTTTTATACAGTAGAAAACATCAAAACTGTGTCTTGGTTGCATGATCCAAATTTTCCATAGTGATGCAAGCTGATAAACTGGGTAAAAACCGGTTTAAAGACTTGCATTGACAATGTATTATTTACAAATTTGCATTAGTTTCAACACGAAAAGTTATAGTTAAGAACTGAGATTTGCAGCAACAAAAGAGCGGGAATATCTTAACAACCTAAATCAGCTATTAAATGACTAAATTCTCACACTGAAGGCTGAAGGTTAATATAATTGGCCACTGTACAAAGTTAAGAAAATGTTGGCGAATAATTGGTTTTTAAAAACTAGGCCATGTTTAATAATACACAACTTTGTCCGTCTCAGCACAACGTAATTTGCGTTGCCGTACGTAGCATTGATTGCCATTGCCCCATGTAAAATGGTCGAAAGACAGAGTATTCGAAATTCACTAAACATGATATTCCTTACTGCTGGTCTATACTAAAATAACTGAATCTATTTTAAATGGGAAGATATATCAGTCTACGCACTGTGCAGAAAACGAAAGAATAACATTTCGTTTAATACAGTCCTTTGCTGGGGAAACCGCACATGACATAACGAACAAGCAAAGCAGTACTATACCGTGTGTTGCTTTAAGGCTTTCTTCCAGCTTTCAGTATGATCTTCACAACCGACGGCTCTTAAATACAAGCATTTAATACTCCTCCTCAATTCCATGAAATAAATAAAAGTTAAAATATGCACGAACATGTCCTTTTCATGTGCCGTCTTGCTTCGAGTTCACTGTGTTATAAAGTCGCCCCCCCCCCTGCCTGACACGGAAATTATGCGTAGATTGCGCTTGATTGCGCGCGCGCAACTTTTGCGCTTAATAATCAAAGTGGAGGAAATATAACTACAAGTATTGAAAGAGATCTCAACGTAAAGAAATTCTTCAATTTTGGCAATATATTATCAACAATATTATTGCGTTCCATTGTAAGCTGGAAACAATCTTATTTTCGAATTCGGTTGCTGGGAATTTGACATTCAACTCAGTCATTGACTAAGCAGGAAGTATAATATCCCTATTTTTTGAATGTATTATGGATATAAGATGGTTTATCTGCATGGAATTTGTATTCTTTCATCAATATATCAATGCTATGGGTAGGTATTGACAAAATTGTCCATTATTTTGGTATGAACACACTTTTCGCATATGTTTATATTTCAATATTTATATTAATATATTTGGCGATATAAATTATTGTCACTTGGGTTCAGTTCCGTTCCGAAACAATTAAGAAAAGGGAAAATTCGGAACAGGAAATGCGGGCGAACGTACGCGGATGCACGCAGAAAAATAATCAAACACGGATGTAACAAATACTGATGTAGAATAAATAAATAGAGAGGTTCAGATTTGACTTCCACGATCGCCACAGCCTGGCGCTACCATTAAGGGATCATTAACCAACGGGATGCGTTTTAATATATCGAATTAACCAATTAGATGCGTATTAAGCCAGTGAGAGGTAGTGCCGTAGTGGTAGCGGTTAGTGAACCTTTCTACTTAGTTGCTGTGGGAATAGAGTGAGGACGATAAAATTCAGAAGGAACCAAATATATATATATATATATATATATATATATATATATATATATATATATATATATATATATATATATATATATATATATATATATATATATATCAAAATGTGCATACAAACAAGATGAATCCAAATTGCGTAAAATACAATTTTGATTGCTGGGCTACCCAATTTCATTGTATAGTCTCTGATTAAATAATTGGAAATAAAATTAACGCAAATCAGTTTGGAACTCGTTCTTCCAGCGCATGAATACTTGCCTGGTTGCCCTTATACATGTGGTACGTAAATTTGGCTTCCGATTCTACTTGCGCTTGTATCAACTACATGTAACATATACGTTCGCGGCCTGAGGACATTTTGCATTCTAAATTTTCTTGCATGCATGAGTCTAATTACTGCCTAATTGTGTGGTGTATTTTTATTTCATAGTAAATGTTTCAACCGCATTGAGGCCATCTTCGTCAGTAACAATATCTGGTACTGGTAGTGTACATGTCGTCTATTCATCAGTTATAGTAACCACTTCAGGGATAACAACTCGGCAATCTGCGAGTTCATCATCTCTCACTCGCACGCTGCAGGAAGCAGGTAACATATCAACTGATTGATATTTGTTGATACAATTAATTAAATTTCAAATATTTTAGTCAATTGCATAGCAGCAGACTGACAATTTTTTGGGTCAACTAAATAAAGAATAAATATAGATACTTTGAAATAGATATTTTAGTGTGTATTAACAGTTCGTTTTAATATAATTATTATCATGCTGTCATACCCTCCAGGGGAGCAGCAAATTTTATCTGCAGGCAAGGGGTGAAGCGAACTGAAAAATAAATTCAATAAAGTGATTCATAAGCGAACAGATTCATTGCTAAAAGTAGAATCAGCTTCTACTTTTTCAAGATGAGTTTTGTCGTTATTAAGCAATCACGTGACGACCTTCTGAAAAGGTTTCGTTCATGGAGTGCCCGGAATAGTACATGGAAAACAAGCTAATTTTGTACTTGAATGGACTACTATGTTGTTCCAAAATGTAAGACATGCAATCAGCCCACCAAAGATTCTTCTTCATTCGAAGAATACGCATCTGGATATACGCGCGAACCTTTAAACTCAACAAATGTGTTTTCAACATTTAAAACAATTACCTTATTTCCTCTATTTTGCCCCAACTTCTTTTTTAGCCCCCACTTAATTCAAATTAGCCCCAGCCCTGAAACAAAATAAGCCCCCGCCATCTATTTAGCCCCCCTCCCACTTTCTATTAATTAAATCATAAACTTCGTTCGTAGTCTCAATGTTCCATCTTGTACTGCATCACGAAGTAGTTTGATTTTGTCACATTGTTTAATATTGCATTTGTAATGTTTATGTTACTCTAACGGGCAGCAGTAATTGGCTTGCGCTCTTGCAGATTCCATAATAAGGCAATGCTATAGTATGCCAAATAAATATATGCAATGCACTCTCCTCCGCAGAGCCGTATCAGCAAACACGAAAGCTAGCTATACCCGTAAAATGTAAAGCATTCCACTTGTTTAATAACTAAATTTATATATATATATATATATATATATATATATATATATATATATATATATATATATATACAGCTAGTCTTTGTGTTTAACTATACGGCTCTGTCAACAGGGCCGGAACTACTTGGGGATGGGGGGTGTATAGCATCCCCCCAAAGAAAAATCGAGAAAGGGGCCCAACTTCCCCAGAGGGGGTCCCGGAATGCTGGAATTGCGGAACGTGTTAAATATTAAGGAATATTCTGAAATATTGAGGTCGAAAAAGGTCTGAAAAAGTATTTTTAACCCCCCATTATCGCAAAATAGCGTTTAGAAAACATTGTTGAGACGTTTTATTTTCGAAAAAAAAACGTCGACCTCACCTCCCCCCCCCTCCCACCCCAGGAAAATGTTTCCTTTACGGAAAATTGTTTTCAGGGGGGCCCGCGAAAGGAAGGAGGCCCAAATTTTTCATGGCCCTGTCTTCGTGAATATTTGTCTTTATAATGAAACCAGCGAGTTCATGTATCTGGAACATTAAGTGAAGCGTATCATTAATACAGTGTCAAAATGATAAACCTGTTTCTTTTCATATTTAAATTTTTTAACTTCGCCTTGCACGTTTTCATGATGCAACTAGTTTTGTTGCATAATAATTGGATGCCAAAAATGAATGTTATTGTGAAATTTCGTTACGTTTTAGAATCATCGACGCCGCATGCAACAAAACAACCACCTATTCATAAATCACTTTCCCCCATCATTCCTTCTTACATCAACGGAGTGATGTCAAGTTCATTAAGCCACAGCAGCACCTATGGTCCCAGCGTTAATAATGGTAAGATCGTTGTTTTGAGGCACGTATAGCATGTCGGATTGTGTTAGTCACTTGTTCAGAGCTAAGGTTTTATTCCAGGGCATTTTGTTTCGCTGACCAACCAACCGCGGAAACAAAAAAAGCTCTGGGTACGAGGTCGAGGTTTTATAGATATATGTTACTTTCTGTCAGGGTCTCTCAGAACGTGGGCAAAGGGGAGCAATTTGCCCCGGGCCCCCAGTTAATTAAAGGGGGCCCCAAAATTTGCAAAAGCGGGGCAACAAAAGGTGTAATTAAAAAAAAACTATTTGGAACGTTTTTTATATAAATGATGGTATGAGAAAAATTTTTAGACCTTGGTCCAAAAAAAAGTATTTTACCCGTGTTTTTACAGGTATTTGTCCGGAAATTTTTTTTTGAAATGCATGTTCGGAGAAATTTTTTTACGGATTTTTTAAAAGAAGACCAACTTTTTGAGACTTAATTTCTAAGTCGTCATCAGACATGCAGAATCAAGCAAGTGTAACTATATGATTAACCGAATTACACAACGGATCAAGCCCGTTGTGTAGTAAATCACTGGCTCGCAATAGCTGAACAAATAATCCTCATCGAGCCGGAAAAAAGCAGATCTAGACTGTAGTATTTCCAGGCGTTCAAGTTACTGAACTTTGTCGTTATAATGGTATTCCCATCCCATTATTGTCATTCCCAGTCCCAGTAACACAATTGTCGAGATTTGGGGGCATCTCGCCTGGATAGAACAAATTAACAGTTGGATGCTTTTTGTAGATGGAAATATCGAGCGGAAGATTATGGTCCATTATGTATTTAAACACACTTGTGGAGTGTTTATCATAGTAAAATGCGTGTGCCCTTTGAAGCATTTGAATATGTTTGAAACACTCCTACATGTTCGACCAACTCAAACACGACTACAATATATGCCGTCTTATTAATATTCTTTATATAAAGAATACTAATTAGGATGGACTTTTATGTACTATTTAAAGCACGCGTAGGAGTGTTTTATCATATTTAAAACGCAAGGCGCAGCCGAGCGTTTTAGATATGATAAAACACGACTGCAAGTGCTTTAAATGGCTTAAAATGCGACTACAAAAGAATACTAATTAGGATGAACCATTATATAATCATACTAATTAGACTAATTAGGATGAGTTTTATCAGATATAAAGTCACTCCACGTGACATTACTGACATATTATGGCTGACATGATTTGCCACAAGGTTTATGAATTATTAATGAGTATTTTAAATAAAGAATAGTAATGAAGATGAGTTTTATCAGGAATAACGCCTCTTATGAACTATATTAATGAGTGTTTGAATAATTAAATACAATTTTATACCTAACCAGGAGCAGCTACGAAAATGCAACTCTAGGATTGATCTCAACAACTGGACTATGTATGTTATGTAGCTCAGTTGGTTATAGGCCGCCGCACTGGAATCGCAACTGCAAATTCATCTCCTGCCAGAGGACCTATAGTTGCGGCATTCTCGCGATCGCTGCCCCTGGTTGGGTCTAAAATGTTCCCCCTTCATTTCAGTGCTCTATAATAAAACAAATAAAACTAAAATCTACAAAATAAATGATGTTATTTATATGGTACATAATTGGATTAAAGATAAACACAGAAAGACACATAAGAATTAAAGTACATTTTACTAACTTATGCCCCTAATTAGACTGTAGTTTGTAAATGTTTATTTCGTAAATATAGGTACGAATTTAGAAACGGATGGAATACCTTTGATAATCGTAGCAGCATCAGCTGCTGGAGCCGGTATTGTCTTTATCCTTATCATCATACTATGTTGTTGCTGTCATCGACGATTAAAACGAAAGAAAAATGAAAGAATATTCCAGAAATATTATCGTCCTACTATCCCATGCAATTCATCACATGATCTTGAAGTCGAAGATGATAATTCCAATATGTGGGGTATGAGAAACTGTAGTATTTCGTGTTGAGTTGCACTCTTTTAAAGAAATAGTCGCATGTGTGAATATTTAATTTCTTTCCATATCAAGCTTCACAAACGAAACTTTCAATTGAAAATAAAGACGAACAATCTATTCATCCAAAGCCACATCAAGGAATATCAAATAAGGCATTTACCACATCGGAGTCCCTACCTGAGATGAATATTATTCAAGAAAAGTTACCTCCTGATCTTCCTATTGACATTCCGAATGATGCAGAGCAGTCAATTTCAAACAAAGTAGAAGGTAATAGAACGTTCTACTTTCATTTCTATCGCTTAAGGATAGTTTTCGTGTGAAGGATGCATCAATCCCAAAACAAAATTCACGACAAAGAGCATTCTTAGTGACGAGGGTTTTTTTTCAGTCATAAACTGCATCACTTTACTTTTATTATCAGTTGTAGAAGTCATGAATAATCAATATGGCTACAAACAAATCACGGCGCGGTATTTTTGTTACATATGCACACTTGCAACCGCATTAAAGATCAGTAAGCCATGTTAGGAGATGTTTATGAAAGTTATGAATACTAATTCAGAAGCAGGGATGTTTACGAAAGTTATCAATACTGCTTCAGATTTTAAATGATGCTAATGAAGCGTGAGATTGTCTCCATGCATGGGCAGTGAATACTAATAAAGTAAACAAATGAATTCATTTTACGTTTATTTTACTGCTCATATTTTAACTAGTACTTCTAGGTTTAGCGATTTTAGTCTTTGCTATTTCGTAGGTGTTATTGAGTTTGTAACTTAAATAAATACTCTCCTGTTTTAAGCTTTGAATATTCAAGAGATTAATAAATCTGGCGAAGATGATCCAGGTCCAGTCCAAAAAATGCCGGAAAAAGTCAGAGAAATTGATAAAGAACTTCCTGCAGAAGAGAATTCTCCACTATGCGATGATGACAGAGCAAGTTTACTTGTCTTACAAAATCTTGATAAAGTTCTGAATAACGAGTGTATTAATGATGTAAATACACCTGAAGAAGAAACATCTGACGGAATTACTAGTTTTACTGATGATCAAGAGAAGAGTAAGTATCATTTGCAAGTTTTCTTTCATGACCATGAGTATAGTGTCCCATGTGCCACAGAACCACACCCGTATAACGTTAAGAATTTATAGATTATGCAGTATAACTAGCGTGCAGTTCCTCTGCTTGATATATGTTGGATGACTTGTACATATTCACGCTGTACATCTTAAATTCGTGATAAAATGATCACATGTCCTTCATCTTTATGATCATCATCACCATCATCACCAAAATCATCATATTTATCATCATTGCCATCGATCGTTATCTTCATCATCATTATCATTTTGCATTACCCGATTTCTAATTTGGAGCTATAAGATCATTCAACGTTGTTCTAAGTATATCCCGTTAAGTACCTGTAGGTTTTTTTAATTCATCGGTCTATACATCAGGTTTCTGTTGACTTGAAGACTGTTGACTTGGCATAGCACTCCCTCGTCCATCGTCACTTCAAATAGGCAGGACCATGGCATTGGGACCTAACCCACCCTGTCCTAACCCACCCTGGAGCTTCTAGATAACGTTTGAGAAATGCCTGTTTCGTACATGGGCTCGTTGTGTTTCATGCATTGTGCGATATGACCTTTAAGCGAATGTTTGGTCAGAAAACACGGGTGTAAAGCTCCGGATATACGGGCAATATTTTTCTGGTGACGGCAATGCAATGGTGGTAAAATTGTTGCGTTGCCGTTGCGTTGAAATTGCTTGTGTATCATGCTCTGCGACAGCCGGCAACGCAGCGCGCAATCATTGCCGAAATTTTAAATCATTTGTTTTTTGGCAATGCTTGCCGAAAATTGGGAGGTATGGTCAAGAAAGGTCAAGGTTGATGATTGACACGTCTCTTGACCAGCCAATGAAAAGCGTTATGAAGACGTATATTGCAGGTGAAAGCCACCTTGTGTGACGGCAACGCAATACTGTTGTCAATCATTGCGTAACCATCGCAGCAAAAATATTGCTCGTGTATCCGAAGCTTAAAAGTCCGTGCATGGTGAGATACTGCAGGCTTTAGAGCTTTTAAATTTACTCGTCTTGTTAAAAAGGTTTTACAAAAAGGGCTGGTTAAGATCCTAACAACATAGACTGTATAGCATGTACTGCATGTGCTGACTTTACCACTTACAATGATCATGTAAAGCTCTTACTAGTAGGCCCCTAGCCCTACTGTAATAATAAATTAGTAAACTTTTGTAAATATTATTAACATTTTTTTGGGCGAAATTAAATTTAAAAAAAAAAAGTTTTAACATCCTAATGAATTTTCTAGAAGACGATGTGGAATATTTTGTTGTCATATACCCTTTCCAAACGTCCAATACAGATGAAATATCACTTGATGTTGGTACTACAGTATCAGTTATTGACAATAAACCATCTGGTTGGTCCTGGGTTGCAAATCAAGATGGTGATACAGGCTGGTTTCCAACTCGATACTTGGCTCTTGTGGATACAGATAATGATCCAGAGGAGTCTGGGGTGAGTAATAATCCATTAAAGCCCGAATCATGCAAACGAGGATGACTCGCACGAGAATAGGCAATCACGCGACCTTAGCTAGCTGTTATTAATGCTTTCCCAACACTATCAATGCGTGTATTCTATTTAAATTAAAACATAGTTGGAACACTCATGATAATCTGGAGCTTGAAATGTACCGCGTATATATATATATATATATATATATATATACCGGGTGGCGCAAAAAAAAGTATAACTGTTTGATTTAGGACAGCGAACAATCTATAAGGGTTACATCCCTGAAATAAACGTAGCTGTATTCATAATAGTCTAACTTAAATTTTGAGCTATAGCATGTTTATTTACGTGCAATATTGCCTGGGATATCGCCAAATAAAATTTGGAACGAAGTTTTGAAAATCTGACAAATTGGCTAAAAATGGCCTATTAAACTGTTTTGATAAATTTTAGAATTTCGTCAGACATATTTGCTTGTATGAATTTAATTTGAATTGAAACGTGTAACGAATGATTTTCCTTATTTATTTATTTGTTTTATTATCATTTGAAAAGCAACAAAATTTCGAAAAAGATGGCTCTTTTAATTAAGAATTGCTTCGCAGTATTCCATGTCCCATAGCCATAGGGAATTAAATTAGATCAACAACCGAACAATTTGAGACAGATTGTCATAACTTTGATCATCGTTAATTCCTTTACTCGTATTTAATAGGCTATTTTCAGCTAATTTTGGAACCTTTTGAAAATGCATATTCAAATTGATTTACCAATATCTTGGGTAATACTAAACAAAAATGCATGTGTTATACATCAAAATTTAAGTTAGGCCTTCCTGGATAGGATAACATTTATTTGAGGAACGTAACACTTATAGTTTTTTGCTGTACTAAATCAAACGCGTGAACTTTTTTTTGCGCCACCCGGTATGTTTGTCTTCTAATCTTATATATATATATATATATATATATATATATATATATATATATATATATATATATATATATATATATATATATATATATATATATATATATATATATATATATATATGCATGTCTCATGCCATCTCTCATCAACTCTCATCCTCGCGATCGTTTGTTCGGGCTTAACTTGAATAAGATTTGTTATATATATGCTTTGTCATGAACTTGCTTCTTCTATGATTTGTCATGGAACAGCAAGTTTAATCACAGACCACGACAGCCATGCAACAAGATATTAAGCCTTATAGTCATGTGAAAAGAACGACTATAAATTTGTAAAAGCAATTACTACAAGACGAGCTAGCGATTTATTTGGCTATTGAGTATTGTCCTTCCGCATCTCGGATATGCCACGCAGGTTTGGGCCCCAAGCAGTAGAACTCTGACAAGATGTTGAAAGAATTCAGAGACGTGCCACTATAAATATATCCTTCATCTGCCATTTCGTTGCGAACACACATATACAAGGAAAGAATATATTCATGCAAGCTAATTTAATTCCGCTAACTTACTGGCATGCACGAGTGCTTGGACATGTTATTCTTCTTCAAGATCATCAATGGCCTCACTTTTCTGGATAAAACTATATACTAGATACTAAAACTAGATACTTACACAAGATCCTCCAGTACAATTGATAGTTACACCTTAGAAGAGTGACAGTGTCGAACATCGACGCGCGTATAGTAAATCATACTTGATATACGCGGTCGACAAGGGTAGCCTATGGAATGCGCTGAAATGATGAAATCCCACGCAAATCAACATTCCTCAAACTTCTAAAGCTATGCTAAAGGAATTAAAATTGATACGTTGTTTTTATCAGACAACTATATACCATGCATGGTAAGCCATTTCAGTGACATGTAAATATATAGACCCATTGCACTTGACGTCACAGCGCCAGTAACGATGCATCTGGAGGACAAATTAGCAATCTACGCATAATATAACTTTTGTAAACAAAGCAAATTTTGTAAAAGTCTATAATAATTTTGTATTAAAATGGTTATTTTTTTCGATGTATGTGGTTGTTGTACCCGAACAGAGATTGTTAGGTAGCATCTGGAGGACACTCTAAGGATTTGTGACGTCAGTGCAAAGGGTCTATAGCTGGAATGCATTTTTAAAAATAAGCGTATGCAGGAATACAGCAGGATGTTTTGTTAACACTGTATTCATTTATTTCTATAGTGGATTCACTAGTACTAGTTATATACGGACGTTCAGTATTATATTCTTCCAACCTCGTCCCCAGGGTTGTCTTGGTGGTTCTCACGCGCCACTACCAAGACGCCCCTGCATGGGGATTAGATTGATATTCTTTTGCTTTCTGTTTTATAATATTGGGTTAATTTTGTCATAAATATCAAGATTTTGGCCATCTTGCGTGATTGAACTGCAGTAGGTTTTTGGTTTCGAGCGAAAGATTTATTACGGTAAAACAAAGAATGGACGAGTATATAGTGAGAAGTGCGAACGTGAAGACGAGCAATGCGGAGATGAATTATTTTACTGCATGCATGCATTATTTTTTTCTTGATATTTGCTAGTCGACATATCAGTTTGTTTTAAAGAGTCTTTCAATTAAAATTGACATTTTAGTTTCGAAAACTAATTTCGAAAGGAAAGAATTTAAGAAAGACTTGAAATACTCAAGATACGAAATTCGTTTCGAAATTAGTTTCATGAAATTAGTTTCAAAAACTAATTTCGAAAGGAAAGAATTTAAGAAAAGCTTTAAATACTCAAGATAGAAATTAACTTTATACACAGTGTCAGTGAAAAAGTGTTTCTAATTTTGGTGAAATGGTTAATTTGTTACATGTGAAACGTGAAATGGCTATTTTTCTTCATATATGAAACGTGATCTACCCACGCACCCGGCTCTTCAGAACCCCTCTTGTTGTCGATAAATTAAACTATGGAAATGTTGAATTAAACACTAAAATAGTACCCCAAAGGTTGCGGGTTCGATTCCCACTGTGGTCAGGCAAACGTTTCAGCTTGCCCGGTGTGGATACACACTCAGAGTAACATCACAAACATCATATTCACCTGAGTATAACACCAACAAACACAAAAAGTATCAACGGCCTAGTTTAAAGATCAACGTCTGAACTGGTTAGTTTCGATTGTTTTAAGATCAATCCAACAATAAAGTTCAGCATCGTTTGTTGGGAATTTTGATTTTGGGTCGAGTTGGATTCAACTAATTACCACTCATCATAAATACCGTTTATACCTTTTCCGAAAATTTTTGAGACCAGTTAATTAAGTTCGACGTTTGAATCAAGTTAGATTTAAGTCGACTCCGGCTATAGGTCGCCTCAAATAGCTGGGTCTTATACAGAGGCAATTTTCCACCTGTGTTGCGTTGAAAATTCATACTGAAGATTTCGGTGTCCTTAACTTTTCTGCCACGCTGAACACGATTAATATTTTTGGTAAATATGGTATTCTTTTGTACGATACGCGGTACTCATAAGCCGCTGACGATACATTATGTTACCTTTTATGGAAGAAAGTCAAAGACTAAGTGAAGTGGGCGAGAATATAATTACTATCATGATGGTACGCATGAATCATTCCGTTCAAGGTTTTAACAAATTCAGCTGCAAGATAATATATATTTACATATATTCATATTGTGGAGGTGGTCATAGTAACTTCCTATTAATCATTCTTCTACACACCGTTTCTTCTTAATGCAATATTCACTCACTGAAAGCTGTTTTATGAGTAACCATCAAAACGTAACCTGGTCTCAACTCTCAAGTGATCTGACGTTGACGTTACCTTGATAATGATAGTAATGTTTGTATGTTATTCTTTTATATATTGTATATTGTGTATTATTGTCATTTGTTTCGATATTATATTTTGCTTATTGTGTTGGTTATTGAGTCTTTGTGTATAATGACTAGCACTAGATATCAATACCGGCGTTACAACATCACGTAAAGTTGATGAGAAACATTGACTGGAATTCTTCGACTGAGTGGGACAAGAACGATATCATTAATTACGACTTATAATATATTGTTATAGACTTTTCTTTATACACTTCTAGTACATATGTATTTTGTATACACATTCACAGGAAAATACTAATCATTTTATTGCTCCATTAAACAGTGGTAAAAGAGTATGACAAAGAGGTCGAGGAAATAAGTCTTTCGCCTGTCTGAGTGCTGCTTTATTTAATACGACGTCTATTTAATTATGATACAGTATAAATCATATATAGGCTATAGTATAGCTTTGCCGGTTTTGGCTGTGTCACATCAAACTGTAAGATATCCAAGTTAACCAACGTCGCATCACTATATAAAATCATAACTGATATACATGCAGACCTGACTTAATTATCGCCTTACTTATCGACTTACTAGATTTATTCCTCTATATATACACCGCTTCTTGTTAATGCAATAAGCCAATATGCACTCACTGAAAGCTGTTTGAGTAACCATCAAAACGAAATATTCTCCAGATTTTTATCGCCTTAGGGCTTAGGCTTATGAAATACCAGACTCGAGCAGTGTCCAGTATGAAATACCAGACTATAGAGAGTAGAGTTAGTTTGTTGAATTGTTGATATTGAATTAACAGTGGAATGACGCGATTCTTGAAGTTGTAACATAATTTATACAGTATACGACTGTGTATACCTTGTGTATTTAAAAATCTACATATCTCCAACGCAACAGTCATTGTGGCCACCAAAGAATATAACTAGTGATTACAATAGCTGACATATTGTGACATTGTCAAATCCTGCACTTTGATTATGCAGGAAAGCCCGAAATATTCAAGATTCGCAAGCTCTTCAAACAAGTTCAACAAACTTGTTGGTCCAAAATCATCGAACAATGACTGTTGCATGACTGTGCCATTGTTAGCCTGTTTCATAGTGTTTGTTATGTTGGCTGATGTTGGATAATGTTGGATCAGGTTTAATTCTGTTCAATATTTTCATCCAGCATTGGTTTGAACATATTATACAATATTTTCAGTTTAGTCCGCTTTATAAGGACTTAACTCTTAAGCTTGTTATAACCATTAGCATTGTCTGAAGTAAACAAACAGTTCTTTATGTTAGAGTATTCAAAATACGTTTGATCATAATTTCAAATATGGTAGTTATATAATAATATATATAAATAATGAATTATAATTTATATGTTTTATGCGTTGATATGAATATCAGACAGAATATTTTCGGTAAATTTCTAATCGAATTGACCCTACATTTAGTCATTAGCCAGGGAAGAATTCCGGGCATGTTTTCTATAATATACAACCATGTTGTTTTCCCTATCGTTTTGAATGACCTAATTCACTGACTGGAAATAAGTAAAAGTTAAACTACTGTATTAATTACTATTCTACCAGTTGTATACGTTTTGCTGGGTCGATATGAATGTATGCCCATAATTACAACAAAGCTATTAATAGCCGGATGAGACAAACAAGGAAGTTGAAGTAATTACGTAACCCATCGGCATCAGATATAATTATATTGTTTTTGTTTGGTGAAAACGGTTCCTATATAGAAGAAGCCGTGTTTTTCAATTTTAACTTGCTACCCTACCGCAGTGCCAGGCACATGATCGATGAAGGCATAATTCTTCAATTGTAAAGAAAATTATTTGTACTGTTTTTTGTCATGCTGCTGAGTGGGTCGCCTATAAAAGGCCACGACGACACACCGGACACGATTCGACAAAGCGGCGCGATTTTTCAGTTTTTGAAAGTCAATGAAAGGAAATGTTAAAAGATATGTAAACCAAATGATTTAAAATGTTATAATAGTGCTTCAAAATATTTGAAAAACTTAAACCAGGATCAAAGGTGTCTTAGCCTTTAGATTTAATGGGCATGAACATATATCCTTGATTCTTACGCCTGTATTTAAAAGCTCACTCACATTCACACTCAATGAGTGGAGGTTTAATTTGAGCTTCCCTTGAGTGTCAATGCTGTTTTTGAATAGCTGGAGGGTGAGTAGTCACATAGTAAGGTATGGCACTAACCCTCCAGCAGTCCAGCTATTCAAAAACAGCATTAATTGTCACTCAAGGGAAGCTCAGATTGAACCTCCACTCTTTAGAGTGTGACTGAGCTTTTAGAATACGGGCGTCAAAGTTTAGGCAAAATAACAACTTCTAACTTTCACAAACTTGCAAGCAAGTTGCAATAATTTTTTTTGTTAATTGGAAAGTAACAATTTTAATATCGTTTGTTCATGAATAGCTACTTTTTTATATTTTCTCCTCGCCTTCATGCACGTGTCATTTAAGACTGCATAGATAGAGGGAACTGGGATACGCTTATTTTTGGACTGGAAAACTAGGATTTGGGTTAGTGGGAATGACATACAGACACAAAACTTTGAAAGCCCATATATAATGATACAGTTGTAGTTGGACTTAACTTCAAGAAAAGCTACAGAGCAACTTTTGATTGAAAGTTTGTCTAAAATATTCTGGAAAACTGCATTCTCCCTTTTCCGGCTCGAAGTAATTTAATTTTCTGCTATTGTGAGTCCGTGATTAACTTAGTATGCCTATACTATATGACAAGCATTTATAGACTTTAAACCTTTATTTTAAAGAGAGCTATTGAAAGCAGAATATTGTGTTTTAAAAGAACAGTAAGTTTACATTTGAAACTAGGATCCCCTTCCCTTCAGGAGCCTTACCTGTCCAAAGAAAACTAATATATCTAGTATAAAACACATAAAAATTAACAACCATGGTATTAAAAAACTTTACGATCTCTTGCAGGATGTTCAAACTAACCATCAAATCGGCTATTCAATTCCAGGTAAAGTGTGCGTATCAAGTAACATATATAGGTGCATGATATAGCATGGTGTTTGGTACACTTTGAAAAAGACAAGCTGTGGAGGTTCAAAGTGGAGGGGTACTTCTATTTGTCTTGCTTCAGAACAAGGCACTTTTTCCATTCTTTATTTGACGTAAAGGGACCTTTGAAGAGAACTTGGGGGGAGGAGAATTTTTCAAAGACTTTCAATTAGCCATTTCCCAATCGAGCAGAGGACTGGGTCTAGTTGATGTTTGGAGGAACGTTTGGAGGGACAACAAGTTATAGTGAACGAGTTAAATTAGAAGATGCCTTATTATAATTGTTGCGTTTCAGGCTGCACAAATAACTTTAGGAATGTAGGAAAACTTCCTAGATGCCATATTCGGCATATTGTTTATTTTTGTCCCTCCAAAAAAGCGACTAGACCCAGTCCTCTGCTCGATTGGGAAATTGTTTTTTTAACTGCACGACCAATCTTATACCCTTACTTACATCTAGCAAAATAATAAAAATAAAGATAATTTTCGTTGAAATTATTTGAAAAAAATTAACAATGGGTCCAAATTATTAAAACATTTTAATTTTGCGTCAAATTACTGTATTTCAATAAAACTGCACTTTTCCTTATCTCTAGACCAGAGGCGACTAAAATTTGCCGTTCTTGAATCATTCTCCGCGACAAGTCCAGATGAACTGAGTCTTGCAAAATATGAGATTGTATCAGTGATTGAAAATAGTTCTTCGGGATGGTCATGGGTTAATGAACCAAGTGTTGGTTCTGGTTGGTTTCCTACCAATTATTTAGAACCTCTAGTCTTTCCAAAGAAGAACACCAGACGTGTGAGTATCAATGACATTTGATAAACTTGTGTTCACATATAAAAAGCTTTCAAATTAATCGGCCTTGAATCAGGATGGTCCAGATCAGGCAGTTCAATGAGCTAAAAAAATAACTAGGGCTTGCAGTTCTGCAACCCCCCCCCCCCAGCCCCCCTCCCCTGCTACGCCTATGTGATGACTGTTCGGTAGAGGACTGTTTATTTTCTTCATTAGCATAAACAACTACTGCGTTTCAAAATCAGAATCTCAAAATTAAATTAAAGGATTATATTAATTGAACGAGTCTATTATCAACCAGTATACAGATAGGAATCTGATTTATGACAAAACGCGACTCAACTTCGCTCAACTAAAAACTGTTTCGAAAGTTGTTTAATTTAAGGTTGCGTGCAGGATTTTGTTCTATTGCCAACAACAACCATGTTGCACAATCTGTTCATATGTATATATATATATATTGCGGATAGGATGAGATTTTCGGAAGTGGAATATTTTTACTTTCATTCAACATTCTTATACCTAGCTATTTTATTAAATATTCCTACTTTCAATATTCTGAAATACACTGGCGACTGGGTGGGGGCAAATATTCAAAGTTCTTTCAAATATTCACATATTATAAATTCCAATATATATAGGTCTATATATATATATATATATATATATATATATATATATATATATATATATATATATATATATATATATATATATATATATATATATATATATATATATATATATATATATATATATATATATATATATATATGTTTAAAGATTTGTAATCCAGGCATATTATAATTAATTAAAGTTCTCCGGATTGAAATATACTTTTATTGAGCTTTCGACTCGGTACTTTGATATATATATATATATATATATATATATATATATATATATATATATATATATATATATATATATATATATATATATATATATATATATATATATATATATATATATATATATATATATATATATATATATATATATATATATATATATATATATATATATATATATATACTATCAGAAATTTCATATAGGCCTACCTACCAGAAATATTCGATATCCTTGCCACAAATATTTCTATTCAAACTAGTTAGAATGCAGTATATTCGAAATTCCGCTACCACCTCCACCACAGGAAAAAGGCACTCATGTATAGTCACAATTCATTTCCCACTCCTAGAAACTGCAAGTATTTACATTTATTTATACGACGAGAAGTTTCTATACGGGTCCAGAAAACGGCGGATCCGCTATTTTAATAGGAATATATAAAAAAGGCTTTAAAAATTGTTGCTTTCAATTTAATATGGTAATAATCGCTGCATTCTATAACTATATAAGGTCTATAAGGCCGTACAGTGTTGGTTTCCGACCCCTCAGGAAAAAATGTTGCACTTTTGCGGATGGACTGCACAGCCATATATATAACACTTAGAAAACAAACAGCATGCAGTGTTTTCTAAACTAACCGTCAAAATATTTGCCATATACTGAAGAGTATATCTGTGAATGCAGTTCTCTATATAATAAAACTAATATGATCTCTATATAGTCTCATCGTATATGGTTGATAGCTATATCAACTCATATTCGACTCGAGTTCGCAATTGAAATAACTGTTAAAAATATTCTCAGTATCTCATAAATGAGCGATATTTTTTCTTTAATTTTGTTTAAATGGAGCAGTTATCCAACGAAAGCTCAACCTCAGACTACCTGGACATAATAGTTGACGAAGGTCAGTTTTTACAATATTACAATCTTACAATTATAGTTTTTGTACAATATATCTATTATATCTATGAGATCAGCAATAAATGTCGATCAGACTGGATCAGTCAAACTTCCGAACGACTCTGGACTCAGTTCATGTGGCTATACAATTCATAAAATTATTTTCAAACCAGCATTCAACAACCGAACGACGATCTTATACATCCGGCTATACTCCGTAAATTATCTAAACACTTACTTCATTATATTATGATTATTATAATTAATAATTATTGTATATAATAATGATTATATTTTGTAAATATTCTTGTTTATAGATACTGAATATATTTACGCCAGTTCTGAAGAAATCCAGAAAGTGAAAAAAGAAGGTCACTACCAGGAATATGAAGCAAAAGGTTTGCATTTACAAAGTAACTTATAATTCACTTCATTAATTGAAGACATATAATGGAAAGCTCAACTTATCGTTGTTTTTCTTTTGCTTTGTCCCCGTTGCTCAGCTGTAACACGGCGTTGTCTATTGCAACCATTATCATATCATTTCCCATCAAGCGAACTTAGCGAAATACGTTTTCCACAACTTTGCCTTTCCGGCTTTTTTTTAAAACTAAAAGGTTTTTAACTGATCATGAAGCAAATAAAATCAAAACTGAACTCTACAGTCACCTCCATGTATAATTTAAATTACTTTTGCTTTCCAATGAACAAATTATTACTGCATGCTATTGTCTTTTTATCCTCCGTGCTCCCATCCCTCATTACTTTCTATTCGACGTGCGTGCAAAACAAACTTCAGCTTTGCTATCAAGCGCAATCCAAAAAAACACAACAGCTCACCAGCTATAAATATTTAAAACTTTCCATTATCAGCCTACCGTGCATCTCATACATACACTGGCGGTAATGAAGATGAACTCACGTTTAAAGAAAATGAAACTATTCTGGTATTACAAGAAACAAAGACCGGTTGGTGGAGAGGAAGTACATATCTTGGTGAGGGATGGTTTCCCGCCACTTTTGTTGAAGTAAGCAGTCGTATTTTTTCTTCCTCATGCAGTGTACATAAGCTTCAAAAATGTCGTATAACTATAACCATACTGCATGACTACAATAATTCCTCGTATAAAACCAGACAGAGGAAAGAATTTTTAAAGATTTATCCTGTTCAGTCTAAATTATCCTCCATGTATATATTTTTATAGTATAACTTTTTCAGTCATTTTCTTCATGATTTTCTATACTGTCTGACAAAACGTTTTTAACTGGCATTTACTCTTTTAGGATCCAATAAATGAAGATACGACTGATGAATCTTACGAATATGTTGTCTGTAAAGAACGTAAGTTGCTATATCATAAATGTAATCATCTTGAAAGGTCTGTGCCAGTGTACAGGTAGTTCCAATAATAAGAAAGCTTCGGATTGATACATGCAATTACCTGAAAAATAGAAGGAGAATTTCGACGTTTCGAGCGGGCAGTTGCTAGCGGGGGTCTGGAAAAATACATGTAACATGAGCTTTTATACGTCTATATAGTGAATATAAAAGCGTCACGTGACAAAAATATTTCTCCCTATCTAATTAATATTTTTTCCCAATAATGTAATTTGCAGTTTCACTCAAGTATTTTCACTTAAATGTTTTCTTTCCTATCCAGTTCACGTTTTGCCGACTGGGAAAACAATTTGCCGACTACCTGACGACTGGGTGTTACACCCGCCCCCCCCCCCCCCCCCC